TATTGTCCCTAACAGGAAATTGATTTGCAGTATGTCCGTACAAACAAACAGACAACCAACACATCACATACACACTCCAAAATAATATAATATAATATAAGCATGAGAAAACAACCTAGATTTTTCATCAAAAAAGTACAATGTGCAATGGCAACAACACTTATGGTTTAGTGTTATTAACTATGATAACAGCAGTAGGTACAAAAGACAATCTATGTCTCTTTGTCTTCACTGCAGGTACTTTATAACGACGACCTGATGGAAGCAGTTGAAAATCATTAAAGAGAGGATGATCTGAGCACAACAGGACAGAGGTCGCCTTCCTCAGCACCTGCCTGTTATAAAAGTCCACAAGCTGGTCCTGAGACCTCCCTGAAATCTTACCAGCCACTTTAACCAGGTTGTTAAGTCTGGTCTTATTATTCAGGGACATATTACCGTACCAAGCAATGATACAGAAAGTTAAAACAGATTCAATAAAACTTTTATAAAAAAGAGTCATCATTTCAAATGAAACATTGAAACCTCTCAACCTCCTTAAAAAGTACAGTCTTTGTTGAACCTTTTTCACTGTAGCAGCAAGATGTGACTCAAAGGACAGAGTCTTATCAAGAACAACCCCCAAATACTGTTGATGGGAAGATGGATGGAGCCAAATACAGGGCAAACTTGGAAGAAAACCTCTTGGAGTCTGCAAAAGACTTGAGACTCGGGTGGAGGTTCACCTTCCAGCAGGACAACAACCCTAAACATAAAGCCAGGGCAACAATGGAATGGTTTAAAACAAAACATATCCATGTGTTAGAACGGCCCAGTCAAAGTCCAGATCTAAATCCAATCGAGAATCTGTGGCAAGATCTGAAAACTGCTGTTCACAAACGCTGTCCATCTAATCTGACTGACCTGGAGCTGTTATCAAAGAAGAATGGGCAAGGATTTCAGTCTCTAGATGTGCAAAGCTGGTAGAGACAGACCCTAAAAGACTGGCAGCTGTAATTGCAGCAAAAGGTGTTTATACAAAGTATTGACTCAGGGGGCTGAATAATTATGCTCACTCCATTTGTAAAAAATGTTTGGAATCATGTATGATTTTCGTTCCACTTCTCACGTGTACACCACTTTGTATTGGTCCTTCACGTGGAATTCCAATAAAATTGATTCATGTTTGTGGCTGTAATGTGACAAAATGTGGAAAAGTTCAAGGGGGCCAATTACTTTTGCAAGCCACTGTATGTATGTGCTCCAAATCTGACACCTGACATTAAGCTTCAGCCACACTGGTACTCTGCTTTTTGGTTGTGGCATTCACAACATACATGTGAAAAATGAAAATTTGAAATGATGTTTGGAAACCAAAAATCTAAAGCAAAACACTGCAAAGAGGAAGCACACTGAGCACACAAACCTTTGCCAAACAACTCACTCTCTGGGCAGTTCTTACTAGAATTGTATTTTTTTTTTTTTATTGTATTCACCACAATAAATTCACCTTTAAGACTTTGGTGGATCGAAGCCAAATTTAAATGGATTGCTTCCATGACCCCACACTACACCCCTTTTCAAGCTATCATTTTTACAGACAGAGTGATGACACACACGCACACAAACACAACCAAAAATAGAACCTCCGCAGTTTTTTCTGCCCACTCGTACTCTAAACTTCTTTTTTATAAACACAGGCAAACAATATCAAACTGTGAGACTGAATTTAGACAGAAGATTTTGAAAAAACATTTTGTACCCAGGCACATGCCGATCCAGTGATAGTGACGTCCTTTTCTTTTTGGGTTGTGTGAAAACAATGTAGTTACAAACATTATGTGAGATTTTTTTTTTAAATTCTCATTTACACGTGTTTGTTCCAGCTTTTTCAGCTCATATTCAGGAGGTCCCACTGAGCCGTCTGTCGTTATTCAGACTCAAACTGGTGTGCTAAATGAGCTGTAATTTCAGACATAAGCGGTTTACCTGTGTGATGCAGGCGCCTGTGAACGCCACAATCACGGCCACCACATTGACGGTCAGCTGGAACTGCAGGAACTTGGAGATGCTGTCGTAGACGTTCCTCCCCCACATGACGGCCTTGACAATACTGGTGAAGTTGTCGTCAGTCAGGATGATGTCAGATGCCTCTTTGGCCACATCTGTGCCGGCGATTCCCTGAAAGGAAGCAGAGAGGCATCATTAGTCCTTGAATAAGAGCAAACAGTCTCTGTGATGCCAAGTTTCCAACAAATACGGAAACTCTGTTTACACAAGATCCACACAAGCAGTGAATCAACTCTGCTAAAAAGTGTTCATCGAAACGTTTTTGTATTTTTATGGTATTTATGAAAAAGTTCTAAATATCTGAATCTGTGAGAAACTGTGTATTTGGAGCTAGGGTGGTGAGTTACAGTCATAAAGTACTGGAAGAGACACAAACTACAGTTTTATTTTTTAGATTTCAGTCAAATGACATCTCCGGGTACAAAATGACAATTTTTCTATTTTCCTCCTCATGTTTAAAACACTGCTCGTAAATTACCATCCCAAGCACCAGGTGTGGGCCTGCTGCTGTTTATTGATGCTTAAGGTAATTTCAAATCGTTCCTCCAAAAAGTCGATTGGCTCCAAAATCCATTCAATGCTCATAGGTCCTGTGTTCAAATGCCCAACTTCAGTCATGAAGATAATGTTTACAATAACCAGGCTTCCCCCTTGAGCACTACAAGACCTATAATGTAAAAGACTAAAGTCTGGCACTCTCTTCCAATCGGATTTTTTTGTCACAGGCTATGTGATTTTACATAAAGACTGCGCAGTTTGCCTTAAACATAATGTACAAAGACAAAAACTGTTGAACAAAGACAGAAACGGAAGATGCTCGGGATCACGGCTGAAGAGTGATTTGCTCAGATAAAGCGGTCCAAAAGAAAGAAAACACTTTAGATACCGTGGACACGACATTGATCACATACTTGAACATCAACCAAAGCAAAACTTGCAGCAATTTGTCTTTGCTGGAACACAAAGCAGAGACCGGTGTAAGACGGTGCTGAGTTTTACAAGCAGGCTACACCAAACAACTGAAAACTCAGGATTTTATTGTTACACTGGACACTGAACTTGCTTAAAAATGCTACCGTTAGTGAAATTAATTAATGAAACCGGCCCTCTCAGCTGTGTTTGTCACTTTGGTGCCTTTTGGAGCACTTTTCATGCAGTTATCCAATAAATTATATGGCTTCCTGTGGCATATTATTATTGGTCTATTACTTTATGGTCACTTTATTCTATTAGTAGTACAGCACTTTCATCCGCAGCTGCTACTTCTGTGTTTATGAATAAATCTGAGTTGACTTGACAATCCTGACAACCTCCATATAACAAGACAGCCAACAAGCTAACTGAGGCTCTAAAAATGTGGAGACCAAGTCAAAACATCAGCCTGGCTTTGTACTAAACTGCCTCTCAGACTCGCACTTATAGATCCCCAAAGTGCACAACACATAAATCTGAGGGACTGTAAAGTGATTAATAAGGTAAGAAGACAGAAACGACAAGTATTTCTGCTATACAAATTCCACATTTACTGCCATCTTCTTCCAATGCTTGACTGATCACCACTCAGATAGACCAACTGTGGTAAGCGGTCACAGATAACACATTGCTTTACCTTAATGTGTCCCAGTAGTCACAACCTAAAAAGCCTTGGAACCGTGACTAACTAATTGTGCATAAACATCTCAGCTGTGACCAAGAGAACCCTGGTTTACTGAAGCTCATCTAACACCAAAATGTTGAGCTGGAGCACCCGCAGTTTCCTCAGAGATGGATAAACGATTATCTTTCTGTTTAGTTTAATGTTACTGCTTCCTAGCTCATCTGCAGGGCACAAGCACAGTGGAATCATGCTGCCGAGGTTGTAACGGCAGAGCAGTATGACAGGTACAAGGAGAAAGTCCAGCTGTTCAGCTTCACTATGGATAAAGCGACGACTTATTGTTGGGTTCTTTCTCATCTCCTCTAGATGCGAACAATCCGCCAGCTGGATGTTTAATTTTTAAACCTCCTTTCATCTAAAGTCTGAAAAGCTTTGACAGAGAGTATTTTATGCTGCTCAACTGACAGTAAAGTAAAAATAAAACAGGAGGGTCGGCCTTGTCTTAAACAGCAATTCTAAAGAAGTTCTGAGCTGCTGTGTCTCTCTACGCAGGCAGACTCGCTCAAACAGATGGAGGTGAATCGCTTTCAGTTTCCCAGCTAACCAGGCGATAATTGAACAGGGACGCTGGAGTTGAAACTGAAAATGTTCCAAATGGGACATATAAGCGCTGAAAGGTCACCGCTTTAAATCCACAAATTGCTTTTGTGATGTGTTTAGAAACAGTAGCTACTATCAGCGAATTGTATGACAGCACAGCAGCTGCTCAGCACCCTGCAGGAGAGCCTGATGTTCAGATGACTTTCCCCAGTAAATAAAGGTCACAACAACACACAGAGGAGTCAGCTGTGAACTCGTCCACATGCATGTATTCTGTTTTTAAACAGATACACAGTGGCAAGTCGTCAGCTGATCATCTGTTCAGTGTTACTCTTTAGAGATGAGAGTTAGGACGCCACAGTGTTAATTCATTCAGTTTCGAATACAGCAGAATTAGATCCTTTAAATCTACAAACACTTCACTCGCAGGCTGTCTCTGTTTTACAAACTTGCGCGATACAAAGAAATGCTACGATTTGGCACTGGGTTGCCAGGTCTGTGGTTTTCCTGCAGAATTGGAATACTCGCCTCTGTCAGTGCGCCCCAGGGCAGCTGTGGCTACAATGTAGCTTGCCATCACCAGTGTGTGAATGGGTGGATGACTGAATGTAGTGTAAAGCACTTTGGGGTCCATAGGGACTAAGTAAAGCGCTATACAAATACAGGCCATTTACCATTTACTTTACAAGTTGCAGTTGCCACCCTGAACTCCTGTACAAGTTTACTTAAAACAGTCTTCACTTTGAGGTACATATGATGAAGATTCAGTTGGTGTGTCAAAAGTGTTACATAACAAATGAGCTGACGTAGGTGCAGCGCTTGGGAATCATAAAACTGGGACAGTGAAAACAACTGAATTTACACAGCAAACAAACGTTTATGAGTGGCTGTAGGAGAAAGTTTACTGAGACATATTTTGACATATGTCAAACAAAAACATGTTTATGCAATTTTTCTCTTTTTTATTTCCTCCAAAGATAAATATGGTTTTAACTTTTGAACTTTTAGGTGACGTAAATAAGGAGTGCGATGTTTCCCCTTAGTAAGTTAGCTTTGTGCTATAAACACAAGCCCCAATATGTTTCGTTCCAAAAGTTCTACTGGGAAGATGATCATTTTCCCAGTAGAACTGAGCTCAAGTCCAAACTTGGACGTCTCATGTTCTCATTTTCCATAGTAACAGCTTTCTAAGCCATGTGGATGAAAGCTATAAATATTGTAAATAATGACGATTGCTGACCATTTTCAAAAGTATCCTGAAAAGCAGCACATTTTCCAAGACATGTTTCCTTACAGCATGCCACTGGTTGTAAATGTATTTCCTGATTGTCTCAAAAAAAATATAAAAAAAAATCAATTTCCCTACTTGAAACTTGCTTGAGGTGTTTCATTTATTATTGATGTGCGAGTCATGTGCATTAACAATACTTTTACCAGAGTAAATATAACCATCATGTGATGGATTACTCAACTCAAGTTTCAGGAGTCTGAAAATTAATTTGTTAAAAAATAAAAACTAATAAATGTCATTTCACTTAAATCTATAAAACACACCCAGATCGCCCAGAGGATTGTTATCGGTCATATATAAAACTCAAATGGGAGTTTCAGCCACCCACCCACTACCTTTTGATTGCTATTCTTCAAGTTTAGTGACCACTTTAGTGACCACTTTCAGGCATTTCTCAACATCATTACTTACTGTTATTACACACTTATTACACACTTTCAGCTATGAATTTACCACATTTGTGTCTTGATAAAGTGCTAGTCACACTTTTAGCCAAGAAGCTCCTTCTTTTAATTTATAATTTTAGCTACTATAATAACTGTTTATCTAGTTTTTCCAGCTACCAATTTCATTTTTTCAACTTTCTTTTAATCAGTTGGTCAACAGTAATATGCATAGTCACCACTGCTTATACAGCTTTCTAGTGCGATTCCTCTTTATGGTTATTCTTCTGCTTTTGTTTATTTAATTAAAGAATATGAAAACAGAGCATGAGATGTTTGAGAGAAAGAAAAACAAACAAACTAATAAATTACAGTAACCCAATATACTTGGATATTAACCTAATGAGGAAATATCTATCTAAATCATAAAAAAGTACTGATATAATGAAATTAAGTTATAGCAGTGGTTCCCAAACTGTTTTTGCTGGGCCCCCCTTTGTTTTCAAGAAAAATGTTCACGCCCCGCGTGCACGTGCACATGCGCACACGCACGCACGCACGCACGCACGCACGCACACATCCTCCAACCACACACACCCATATTTTGCTCCATTGCGGTTTCTTTCACACCTCAAACATTTAGTAAAAAATTAAGCAAATACAAGTAATCTGCAATAAATTACAGGTAGTAAGAAAATAAACTACTAACTAATTTATGCTACGTCCGCACCTACACGGGTATTTTTGAAAACGCAGCGGTTTCGTCCACGCGTAAACGGCGTTTCGAATCACTGAAAACTGAGATTTTTTAAAAACACTTTTTTTGCGTTTACGTGTGGACGAGGAATACAGAGTTCCTCACGCAAGGTCAAAGGTATGTGCCTTTTTTCACGTCACGCTGTGCGCCACGTTATTGTTTACATGAGATGAATTGCAGAATGGCAGATAGAGACAAAATACTGTTAATCTGACTATCTGCAGGTTTTACACGCTTACATACACACGCAGTTACTGTCCCTCCATTTACAAAGGCAGAGGCGTCACGATGTGATTATTTTACATGTAGTTGTTGTTTTTTTTCCTGTGTAATAATATTCAACATTGCTATCAATACATTTTTCAAAAAATGCCTCTCTGTGCAAAATGGGTTTAAAAACATAAACAGCTGTGGGATACTGTTTGTCCGTGATTTGGACAGCCCAGCGCTGCTCCCGATAAGGGAAAAGCAATTCTGCAGGGGAGACCTACCTCGGCACTTGTGCAGGTGAAACCAAAGGGAAGATATGCTTCACTATATTTTCTAGTCTTTGGCTTAAAATGAAGTTGGTTTGGAAACATTCAGCGATGCTTCATCTCCTGCTTTGCGTTTCTGTAGGCGCCCTGTGCAAGCAGTGTCCAAGAGTTTTGTCCCCCCCCCTTTTCATCCCGCGCCCCCCCTGCTATGGCTCTGCGCCCCCCCCTAGGGGGCGGGCCCCACACTTTGGGAAGGTCTGAGTTATAGGAAAGGCATTTCAAGGAGATACTATCTTTCCACTTTTCCTCAGACTGACCCTCCTGTAGCCTCATGAACCCAATATCAAGTGTGTAATAGACACGGCAGTCCACCGTATGTATGTCATGCATTGCTTCTCCAAAGCATGAAATGCACAGGCATGCTGAAGTTGCATTACCAGCAGAGGGACATAGTATATCTAAAAAGCCAAGATGTTGCTCGTGACCCAGGAAAGTGTAAAGTACACTCCAGGATCAGTCTATGCCAGAAACAATTAAGCTAGGTGGCTAATATGCAGTTACAGATAAATATTTTAGTGATGTCTCTTTAAACGCTTTCTCGTGATTATTTTCAAGGTGAAGTAATATCATAAAATTCTTAAAGTGGGCGATATCTGACTCTGTAAATTGAAGCGCTGTGAGCTCTGGAAAGGTGGGATAAGATAGCCAAACGCTCGCCATGAAACAGAGTTTGATATTTTTCTATCTAAATGTTCATTTTTACTTTTACCTGAATATTTTAACTACATTTAACTAATAAATTCCACATATTTTTAACAAGCTATTGTATTTTTTCATTAAGTTTGTTTAGCTAAAACCATAATGTTTTTATCCATACATGTGTTGAACTAATATTTCCAGATTTTAATAATTCAGGATTGTAGCTTCACATTATGAATAATTATCCATACCATGTTTTTGTAAATGGGTGAACAATCTAACAGTTTCAATTGTTTTGTTAAGCTAATTCAACTTTTTTCCACTTTGTGACCATTACTTATTTGTTTTAATCATTTTAGCAATTAATTTTGGCTGGGTTGGTCTTTTTATCTATTAACTTTAGTTAAAAGTGTTAACTTTCTTGCTCAAACACATTCTGCTCTTATCACTTCTTTAATTAAACTGTACTTTCAGTTTTTTCTTTTTTCCTTTTTTGAGAAAATCTGTCCAAATACCCTCAAAAATGCACCCCGGAGTACATGCACTCTGGTTGATAAAACAGACAACATAAAGAAACAGCATTAGTCTCACTCTCTGTGAGTTGATCTGTAAAAAACAAAGGCAGTGACAAGGTGGTAGAGTGGGACCCCACTGTGCTGAATGCAGCCGAACTCAACATTTATTGATTTATTATTCCATTTCACAGCTATCTTAATGAATCCGCGGCATTAAACTGAAGAGTTATTGTCAATGACGTTTAGAGAAATGACCTATTTCATGGCTGCATTAGAAACATAATTAACTGAAAGGCTTATTTTTTTTCTTTAGGTAATGATGCAGAGAAACTTAAGTAGCAGAAGAGTGAAGCAATAAAGAGCCGTGAAACAAAGGCAACAAAAGAAAAGGACGAGGGAAAAAAAATGAAGAAGTGGTTACCATAGCAAAGCCAACATCAGCTTTCTTGAGGGCGGGGCCGTCGTTGGTACCGTCTCCTGTCACTGCAACCACCTGTCGGGTTTCGCCCACTGTGCTGTCGATGATGCCTGATCAGCAGAGTGAAACAACAAGAAACTAGTGAGTGCATGATCATTCAAAAAAAAGAAGGGGGAAAAAAGTAGATCCATTTACAGCAGCTTGACTAAAGGTTTACAATTACACGCAGATTTAAAGCAGCTCAACAGTCTCCTGTCAGAACAAACCCACCTTTGACCAGAGTGTGTTTGTCTGTGGGTGATGATCGAGCCAGAACACGCAGCTTGGGCCAAACTTTGTCCAGACGCTCTTGTTCCACCTAGAAATGACATGTTTAAGTTTCAAATAATCTTTTTCTAGCATATAAAAATAACCATCAAAGTTGGGTACAGAGCAATAATGGGGACTTGGAGCTTCATCTTTAACTGGACAAATCTGAGCACTTCACTGGGCAGAGCAAGCAAAGCATATGTCATAAACCTAATGCATGTGTTTGAATTTGCCTCGAGGCCATTTGCTGTGTCTGTCCTATCCAAATAAAGACAATGTCCGAAACTCCAGGACAGGCAGTGAGAGAAACAGCCAACCGCTTAAGAGTTAAACTGATTAATTGGTTAATGGGCTGCACTGATAGTTATATAAGCTTTTCTAGATTTACTGAGCACTCAAAGCACTTTTTATGCTATGAGCTGCATCCATCCATTTACACACACTCATGCAGCACTTTATGTACACAAACACTCACACACTGATGGGTGCATCAGGGGCAATTTAAGCTTCACTATCCGTACAATCAGTAAACAAAGCTCTCTACCTCCCAAACCCCCAAAAATCAGCTGATATAAGCTTAATGCAGACAGATCAGTTTAACATGATACTGTTGTAAAGAGTGCTGTGTGGACGGTATCAGCTGAACAGGTAAAACACTACCAAACACAACATCTCCCTCGCTCTAATAAGATAGCTATAAGATACATTAGGAAACTTAATGTTTGCTGCTTTTGTACATAAGCCTTTGGAAGGGGGTTAACTCAGGGCCGTTAGGCCACCAGAGATGTAATGGGCTAGTGGAAATCTGGCATTAGCAACAAAGACTTATTGGGCCATATTGACTTAATTTGGTGCTTGTTTTGAGTTCATTTCAGAGTCATTCTCTGGTCAAAGCTTCTTTTTTTCTTAAACTTAAATGCTCATATAAATGTTGCTTGCAGTTGGATTCTTTTTGTACTCGTTTTACCTCTCCCTTGTCATTTCTTATTTGTTGGTTGAACTCTTTGCCCTCCAGACACAGGAAGTCCTCCCCAGGCAGCAGGATGCCACACTTAGTCGCAATGGCACGAGCAGTGTTGATGTTGTCTCCGGTAACCATGCGCACGGTGATGCCTGCGCGCTGGCACTTAGCAATAGCCTCGGGTACCTGGAGGAGAGTCAGAACAAAGGGACTTGAGCATTTTCACAGTAAAAAAAAAAAAAACAACCTTGAAGATGAATGCAGAGTGACAGAAAAGATGAAGATGATTTTGAGTCTGAAACATAAGGAAGGTCCCCTTGCCTTTAACCCAAATAAAAAAAACTGTCACGAACATTCTGTTGGTTGTTTCTTCAGGGTCTTAAAAGATGTTAAAGAAAGAGTTTATACTGCAGCAGAGCTTGTGTGTAAGAGGTCCAATTCCAGCAGCAGCAGATTTTACATGAGAACCACTGTTGTTGTTCTTAAACCCACCCTGAGATTCATTCATCTTGGTCTGGGAGAGGTGATAGTGACTACACAAAGGTACACAGACGAGAGAGGTGCTGACTGCTTCTTGTGCTCCTCAGGTGGTCCGACTGATATGACCAGAACCCAACAGAGGGCACATTTTTTGCTTACAAATACATACAAATGTTGCACAGTTCTCATTTAAAGTGCCTCAGCCAGGGTGCAGCATACCGTTTCCCTTCCTTAATAATTGGCTTCTTAACAGCCATCCTTCCACTGAGACCATTTCTGAGGAGGAAGTAAACAGTGGATCACCTGAACGTCCAGCTTCATCTCTCTGGTCCTGTGTCAGGTCTTTTTAGGCATCCCACTTCTTTTTTTGTCTTCCGCGTCTCGCTTTTCCTCATAATTTTAAGGACATATTGCACAACATGCCAAGATATGCAGAGTTTTCATCTCTTTGGGAATCAACTTGTTGGAAAAAAAATAAAATTTTCTGCTGTCAAACTGTAAGATCCTTGGGATTTTTAATGGATTCGGCTAAAGAAAAGGTACAGATGTGTTTTTCTTACAGGCTGTGAGTAACAAAGTGCCCAAAGACACAATTTAAAATTGTTTTTTTGCTAAGTTGTCTGCTATGTGTAGACACAACACTGGTTCATTACCTGGAGTTAGTGACCTACGAATCATTCAAGCATCAAAATGCACCTGCTAAATTGCTTAAACATAAACAAAAAAACATTCTCTCAAAGGTTTATGTACAAGGGCTGGGCTGAAAATGAGTGAAAAAGCAGCCAGTGTTCAAAGAAAAATGTTAAAAGATCTTCAGAAAGCCTAGAGATCTATTGCTCAAGAGCATTTTTAAAGTTAGTCTGGCTCCTTTTGTAGCAAAATATAAAGAAATAATGGGTGGCTCAGGACTTTGGCGCAACACTGCGGACACTTACATTAATTATAGTAAAATGTTGTAGGAAATGCTCTATGAATGGTCTGCATACATTACCCTTTAAGTTAATGAACCAATCAGGTTAAAAGGGGATCCTTGTGTTTCTTAACTTTCAGCACAGACTGCTTGATTTTGGGGTTACTTGCAGTTACAAAAACACTTTTTCTGAACATGAGGAGAAAAAATTATTTGTAGCACAAAGCTAAAATATTCAGTCTTGTGCCCATCACAAGTTGTGAAGAGATAAACACTGTGCTGCTGATTGACTCCTGCTGCTCTCCGGTTATTTCCATCCTGTTGGTGATCTTTGTGCTCTGACATTAAAGCAGCAGGCAGCAGCACTGATGCTTTCTCAGCTTCATTACAGGCCTCATTTAACACTTCAGAGCATCCGGACTGTAAGATCTGGCTAGGACAAACTTCGGTCTTCATGTTAGGAGAAAGTTAATGGCATGCTTACACAAATATAACAATATAGTCAAGAGCAGCCTCTCAGATGAGTTTCAGTCTCAATGAAGAAAATTTAAGCTCCCTGTTTGGTCTGTTTAACTTATTTTTGCATCATCAGAAAAAACAAGCTGCACACCACAAACTCTGATTATCCCGTAGATCTACTGATCCCTGCGTGAAGTCTGGATTATTGCAGGCAACAGAAGCAGCAGCCTCTTACTGCTGTTTATTAAAGCAACAAAGCTATTTCCGTCGCTTTTCATGTGAACAACTGATTGCAACACTATGAACGTCTTTGAAGAGGGACCTTCTGGAAGTGTGAGAAACAAAAACACACACAAATCGCACAGAGCTGTTGGCGAGAGGATAGGGAGGAGGACAGCGGGAGGTAGAAACAGCTGGATCATCTGTCAGTCTGCATGCATAGACAGCTTATCAGTCCTTTTACCTTTTTTCTAGGCAAAGTGGTAATTATGTAAATTCATCTCCCATGAAAATACAATATTTATCAAGGCACTGGGATGTGACATATGACTGAATGGTAATTATGTAATCCTTAATTACAGTGTGTTTCTTGTTGAATAACATCATGGTCTCTTCCTCTCTGCTCTCACTGACTGTTAGATTATCCACACTTCAGGTCAAAAGAGGAAATGACACATCGTGAATAGAAAAGTCTTTTTGGTGAACAGCGAACATTGTTTTATGTTCAGCCTTTTTATTCGGAGCTGCGGTTTTGCATGGTTAAAACAGATCCACGATTTTATCTAAACAGCGAGTCACAAACAAATCTGAATAAAAAACGTCGAAACCTTATAAGACGTGAAATGGTAAGCCCATGCAATTCCATACTAACCACTGAAGCTGCTATGGAAATCTATGGAAAAATGGTCCTCATATCCCTTACTCTGTGACTTCAGTATAGTTTCCTGATAAGTTTATGGTCTCAATGACAAGCTTCAAATTATACTGATCACATTAAGAATCAGAAAAGAAGATCCCTGTCACATTTTAAAACACCAACATGGCTACGTTGAAACCATTCACCTTGGGGTTTCATAGCAGTCCAGTCCTCTTTAAATATCTTCTTAAAGGGGGCCCTCTATGGTTGTCCTAATGTTTTTGTCATATACACACAAAGCGATGGATACTCTTCCAACAACAAGCTCAGTTTATGTGCAAGTAGTGCCTATGAGCTAAAAGCGCAGACTCCTTAATACAGATCTGGCTGTCAGCAAAGAAGCCCCATCCACCTGTTACTCTAACCTTCCGTTTATGAGGGGCAGTCAATGAGAGGAATGGTGGCTAAGCTACCACAGTGGTATTCAATTGAAGTAATTTGGACCAAGAAATGTGCATTAACTTCATATTTAACTGCACACATTCTTAGCTAATGGTGGAATGAAAGCTGGAATGGTGGCTGGAAAGCATGTTGGCGCATTTGTTAGCACTGTTACCTCACAGCAAGGAGGTTCCTGATTCAAACCCTCTGGTTGGCTCGGGGCTTTCAGAGGACTTTGCATGTACTCTGATGTCTTCCCAGAGTCTCAAAAATTCATGTTAACATGCAGGTTAATTTATGCTTGTTAATTAGCCACAGATGTGAAAGAATGCTTGTCTGCTTTTCTGTGTAAACGCTGTAAAAACCGGCAAACTGTCCAAGGGGAAGTCTTTTCCTCAGCCTATGACATCTGGGATAAGCTCTAGCCTAATTAAAACGATGAATGGAAACTCTTTTTATGACTTTAATATTTTGTTTATATGACTGCTTTGCAACACACTGTTTTCAACAATGCTACAGAAATAAAGATTGGGATGTTTGGCCATAAACACGCCCAAAGAGAAAAGGTGAAAATGATAAGAATAAATAAGCTGTATAAAGATTCTTCAGCAGGTAACATCGTTGATTTTGAAACCTAACGGCACATTGGCCAACATGAGCTGTTAACTACAGAGAGCGTTTTGATCGGTGGTGCTGTACCTCAGGTCTGACGGGATCTTCGATCCCCACCACGGCGATGCAGGTCAGTTCGTTGAGGATGTCATTCTCAGCGTCCCAGTCTGGCTCTCCAGCCTCAGCAGGAAAATCCCTGTAGGCCACACAGATGGTCCTCAGCCCGTCGCACGCCATCGGCTCAATCACCTTTCGCACCATCTCGTCACGGTCCTTGGGCTTGAAGACACGAGGCTGGCCCTGGGCGTCCAAGATACGAGAGCATCTGGGAGAAGAGAGAGAATCAGAGGAAGTGAAGGGAGATTATAAAGGTATAACAAAAAGGTTACTGTGTCCACCCAAGCAGCCATCTTTCCTCAGACTGTTTGTTCTTACTTCCTCAGGACGATCTCTGATGCTCCTTTGCTGTACATCCGGAAGCCTCCGTCAGCGTTCTTTAGCACCGTGCTCATGGATTTGCGGGAGGAGTTAAAGGTGTAAACCTTGTAGAGTTTCTCTTCGGGGACTTCATCTCTGATTGGCTGGTAGTCCCTCTTTAGCTCCAGCACCAGGCCCAGCAGAGCACATTCAGTCTTGTTACCCACATGGCGAGGTAAGCCGCCTTCTTTCTCCGGGGGCTGAGGAGCGAGAAAAAGTTTGGAGGTGCTTAAACATGATTAAAGTTACAAGCAAAGAAGGTCACTAGGAACATCCAGCGGTTCAGGTTTGTTTGATGTTTGCTGGTTCAATCAAAGAAGCTTGGGCTCCAGAATTAATCAAATTTTAATCATTTCATTGGGTCTATTCACACAAAACAAGACCATCTGAAGAACACGCTTCTGTAGCTGCAATTCAGGTACATGTGCAGGTTAACAGTAACTGTCAGTCATGTTGGTGCCGTGAAACAGGTTTAATACTATAATTTAAAATCACTTAACACACATGGTGACACATATCTAATAAATTAATATAATAAATTATATCAGATAAATGACTTTAATTAAAATGTTAGTATTCATTTTTCTTGACTTGACATGAGCCAGCGTTAGCTTGGGTTTCAAGTCCAATATGAGCACAGCGATGTACTAGGAGATTTTAGAGCACTTCATGCTTCCATGTGAGGACATGCGTTATGGAAATGACAGCTTCCTTTTCCAGCAAGAGTTAAAACCTACACATAGTGCCAAAACCGCTACCAAACGGTTTGTTGACCATGATTTTACTCTGTTTTATAAGCGAAACAACTCCACTTACACTGAATCTACGGGGGTATTGTCAGGGAGAAGAATGTCCAATATAAAAAGAGCTGAAGGCTGATATCAAGCAGTGCCACAAGCTGATCATCTCCATGCCACACCGCACTGATGTTGTAATTCGTAACGTGCCATAATCATCAAAATGAAATTAAAAAAGGCTTTATATCTAACATATACAAAATATATCAGAGATGACCTTTCTGAGATATTTTCATTATCTGACTACCTCTTGTTTTCTCTGTCATGATGACACTCGCTGAAAATGAAACTGACTATAATAAAACTGTGGACTACCAAACACTAATAACACCGTCTACATACTGTATTAAGAATATATACATACACACACACACACATATACACACACACATATACACATATATATATATATA